TCACATGCAGACAGACATTTGAGCCATGAGAAAAACTTAAAAAACTGGGATTCAAATTTTGCCCTGGAGGCCTTCACAATTTATATTTGTCATTGACAAATCAGGTCCCAAATGACCTTCCCTCTTTTAAAATATGACCAGCCATTTTTAACACTTCAAAAAATTGGGTTGACAACTAAACAACATCATAGATTGATCTATTTACCTAAATCCTCTTCAAAGGTGTGAGAGACCAATTAAAAATGTTTTCCATTCATTATACCTATTTTATCGTTTTTCTATATTTGGTGCATGAAAATTAATGTAGATGTATAAGAATCCTCATTTCAGCCATCTTTCAAATATGTTTAGTGATTTCAGAAAGAGGAAGGGAGAGAAACATCAACTGGCGGCCTCCTGCACCTTCCCTACTGGGGATTGAGCCCAAAACCTGGACATGTGCCCTGATCCAGGATTGAACAGTGACCTCCTGGTTCATGGGTTGATGCTCAACCATTGAGGAACACTGGCCAGGCTCAGCCAACTTAGTATCAATGAAGGGCAGATAGGGGACTTACTGGCTTTCGAGGAATCATTTCCCTTGTTAATTTTGAGATCTGTAAAGTCTGAACAAACTTCCAGAAAAAAACAGGCCTTTTGTGTACTCCAGTCTCCTAAGAATACCCAAGCAAGGGCCAGTAAGAGCTTCCCAGATGCGACGGGAACCGAAAGCACAGGTCCCTCGGTGCACTAATTCCAAGGTGTCCTTCCCAAGGCTGCCATCAGCTTTGGGATCGGGATCATCTGTACTGAACTGGACAACTGGATGCTCATCTCTGCCACTCCAGGTTCAGGGATCTGAAAAACTTCCATCATCCCATCAGCTATCAGGAACAGCTCAAAAAAAGGCATGGCTCTGCGACTTGAAGCGAGGAGGCCCAGAATTCCAAGAGAAACACCCAAGTTCATTAGATGTGTAAAAGGAACCCAGTGGGGCCCAATGGGCCACTGCTGGTACCTTGCATCGGGTCTGGGTCCATTGGGTGGTCCTGGGTGGGCTTCTTTAGAATCCTGTGCTATGCCAAGTAAATTGATGAACTTATAGAGAATTACATTTTTTTTTTTTAGTTTGGAGCATTGGTTCTCAATCTTCCTAATGCCGTGACCCTTTAATACAGTTCCTCATGTTGTGACCCTCAATTTCATTGTTACAAATTGAACATAAAACATAGTGATTAATCACAAAAACAATATGTAATTATATATGTTTTCCGATGGTCTTAGGCAACCCCTGTGAAAGGGTCATTTGACTCCCAAAGTGGTCGGGACCCACAGGTTGAGAACCACTGGTTTAGAGGGAGGGAGAGAAACAATTTGTTTTTCCACTTATTTACGCATTCATTGGTTGATTCTTGAATTTTTATTATTGATTTCAGAGAGAGGAAAGGAGAGAAATAGGAACAATGATGAAAGACAATCATTGATCAGCCGCTTCCTGCACACTTGCACTGGGGACTGTGCCCGTGACTGGGAATCGAAATATGACCTGGTTCACAGGTTGACGCTCAACCACTGAACCACAATCAATCATTGGTTGATTCTTGTATGTGCCCTGACAGGATGAAACCCACAACCTTGGGGTTTCAGGACAATGCTCTAACCAACTTAGTCACCTGGCAGGGCCCCTGTAGAGAATTTTTATGAGTTTATTATTTGAGCCAAACTGATGACATATGCCTGATAGCAAGATCTCAAATGCACCCAAATTCCATTGAATTTTGAAATGCATAGCAGAGCTACACTGGTAATATCTTTTATTTTTTTAAATATATTTTTATTGCTTTCAGAGTGGAAGGGAGAGAGAAACATCAGTGATGAGAGAATCATTGATCAGCTGCTTCCTGCATTCCCCCTACTGGGGATCGAGCCCACAACCCAGGCATCCTTCAGTCTGCAGGCTGACACTCTATCCACTGAACCAAACCATCTAGGGCTGTAGCAAAGCATTTTTTTTCATATGTTAATTTGATTGGTCTGTGCATTCTTGCTTTGATACTTAAACAACTGAAGAGAGTCCTCAACCATTTTATTCCTGCCCTGGCCAGTGTTGCTCAGTTGGATGGGTGTCATCCAGTGCACCAAAAGGTTGCCAGGATTCCCGGTTAGGGCACATGACCAGGTTGTGGGCTTGATCCCTGGTAGGGTGGGTGCAGGAAGCAGCCGATTGATGTTTCCCTGACATCTCACATCAATGTTTCCCTCCCTCTCTAAAAAATCAATAAAATATTTTTTTTAAAAAAACAGATGATGAATGAGAAGCAAATTTACCGGTTTTGCTCAAAGAAAACTCAGCCTTGGAGGCAGTTTCCCAGCTTGCTATCTGCAATCATGCCATGTACATTCTAAGTATATTTGGCATATTTTAAGTTCAGTGCTTTATGTAAAAAGTACCTGTTTTTATGCTGTCTCTTCATCAGGGCATGAGCTCCAGAATGTTTACTGGATTTTTTATTTAAAATTTATTTTTATTGACTTTAGAAAGGGAGAGGGAAAGAGAGATAGAAACATCAATGGTGAGAGAGTATTGTTGATGGGCTGCCTCCTGCATGCCCCACAGTGGGAATCGAGCCCATAATCCGGGCACATGCCCCTGCTGGGAATCGAACCATGACCTCCTGGTTCATATGTCAATGCTCAACCACTGAGCCACTCGGCCGGGCTGTTTACTGGATTTTTTAAATACTTCAGTTGTTAAATGAGATGAAATGCTCAGCCTACAAAGAACTTGGGCCTCAGAGGGTTTTGTTTTTGTTAATTACCAAAGAAATAGGTACGCGAGTATATTATTGTCATTAGCACATGAGCTTTGAGGCCTCTGGGGCCGAGATGTGGGACCCACAGTAGTTCTGCTTCCCTCACTAGGGCTGTCCTCTGCTCTCTGTCCCTTTCCCTCCCTTCTCCTCTCCACAAAAAGCCTTTTTTTTTCCATCCTGTCCAACACAGGGCTTTTCTTTCTTTTTTTTTTTTTATTGCTTAAAGTATTACAAAGGGTATTACATATATGTCCCTTTTTCCCCCCCCGCCCTTGACAATCCCCTGGCCTCCCCTACCCCCCAGTGTCTTATGTCCATTGGTTATGCTTATATGCATGCATACAAGTCCTTCTGTTGATTTCTTACCCCCCTCCTTCCTGCCCCACAACCCTCCCCGGCCTTCCCACTGCAGTTTGACAATCTGTTTGAGGCAGCTCTGCCTCTGTATCTATTATTGTTCATAAGTTTAAAATGGTCTTTATTATCCATGAATGAGTGAGATCATGTGCTATTTTTCCTTCATTGACTGGCTTATTTCTTTCTTTTTTTTTTTTTTTTAATGTATTTTATTGATTTTTTACAGAGAGGAAGGGAGAGAGATAGAGAGTTAGAAACATCGATGAGAGAGAAACATCGATCAGCTGCCTCCTGCACATTTCCCACTGGGGATGTGCCCGCAACCAAGGTACATGCCCTTGACCGGAATCGAACCTGGGACCCTTCAGTCCGCAGGCCGACGCTCTATCCACTGAGCCAAACCGGTTTCGGCTGACTGGCTTATTTCACTTAGCATAATGCTCTCCAGTTCCATACATGCTGTTGCAAATGGTAAGAGTTCCTTCTTTTTTACAGCAGCATAGTATTCCATCGTGTAGATGTACCACAGTTTTCTAATCCATTCATCTTTTGATGGGCACTTAGGCTGTTTCCAGATCTTAGCTATGGTGAATTGTGCTGCTGTGAACATAGGGGTGCATATATCCTTTCTGATTGGTGTTACTCACAGGGCTTTTTTCTTTCTTTTTTTTTTTTTTTTTTAAATATATTTTATTGATTTTTTACAGAGAGGAAGGGAGAGAGAGAGTTAGAAACATCGATGAGAGAGAAACACCGATCAGCTGCCTCCTGCACATCTCCCACTGGGGATATGCCCGCAACCCAGGTACATGCCCTTGACCGGAATCGAACCTGGGACCTTTCAGTCCACAGACCGACGCTCTATCCACTGAGCCAAACCGGTTTTGGCAACACAGGGCTTTTTTCAAGTTGCTGTTTTTCATGGAAGATTTGAGTGTGGAATAATGTATGACTTTCTCTTTATTATGGTACCATTTAAATACATATAATGAGCAGTCTGGATGACATAATGCCACTTGGACAACAGAGAAAAGGACAGTAACACATAATGTGGGACACAATGAAAGCCATTAGATGGGCAAATGTTGCTTGGGTTTGAGGATGTTCTGTTGGAGTTCTTTTATTTATTTATTTATTTAATTTTCATTGATTTCAGACAGGGAGAGAAAGAAACATCAGTGTTGAGAATCTGGGTTCGAGCCTGCAATCCAGGCATATGCCCAGACAGGGAATCCAACCATGACCTTGTGGTTTATAGGTCGATGCTCAACCACTGAGCCACCCCGGCCAGGCAGTTAGAGTGCTTATTTTGCTTATTTTTGTTTTGTTAATCCTCACCTGAGGATATTTTTCCATTAATTTTTAGAGAAAGTAGAAAGGAGAGGGAGAGACAGAAACATTGATGTGAGAGAGACACATCAATTGGTTGCCTCCTGTAAGCACCCCGACCAGGGCTGGGGAACCTGCAACCAAGGTATGTGCCCTTGACCTGAATCGACCCTGGGACCCTTCAGCCTGAGGGCTGATGCTCTTATCAACTGAGCCAAACCAGTTAGGCCCGTTGGAGTGCTTTTTAAAGATTTTTTTAAAAAATATATTTTATTGATTTTTTACAGAGAGGAAGGGAGAGGGATAGAGAGCTAGAAACATCGATGAGAAACATCAATCAGCTGCCTCCTGCACATCTCCCACTGGGGATGTGCCCGAAACCCAGGTCCATGCCCTTGACCGGTATAGAACCTGGGACCTTTCAGTCCACAGGCCGACGCTCTATCCACTGAGCCAAACCGGTTTCGGCTTTTGTTTGTTTTTTGACCCTAGATTGTAGGGTCACTTGAATGAGCCAAAGCATCCTACTATTTTTTTTTAATTTAATAAAAATATTATTTTTTTGACATTTAAAATAATATACTGTAATTAATCTGAGTAATAAACATCCTGACATTCAAATTCATGATTAAGACCTTGGGGGGAGTGGCAGGGCGGTATAAGTAATTCAATCAAGGTCTGGCATCCTACTATTAATGGAAAAGAGATACTCTTTCAGCACCCTTTTTCACTGCTATGACGGTGCTGTTGGACATGCTTCCTCCTTCTGTGTGTTATGCCAGGAAACACTACCAGGGTGGCTGATAAGGCAGTCAAAGTCCTCAAGGGCCTGTGATAGAACCTCATGGTTGTCACAGGATCCTCAGTCCCAGGCCAGGTCATAAGTGCTGTCATAGCCAAACTCCTCCTGCGCATACAAAGGGTATTTGCTCCACATATGTGGTCTGCTATTGCCTCTTTCCTCTTCACTGAGGCTGTCGCATTCATCAGAGCCTCTGGAATCTTCATCTCCATCACTGCTCTCCTCCTCTGGGTACTCATTGCGCCAATTATTCTCACTATTCTCATCATCTTCATCTTCCTCTTCATCAACGTCCTCTAGTTGTTTGCCATCATCCACCAGCTCCCACTCCTGGCTTAAGGGCTGCACAGAGAGGTCCTTCTCAATCCATCCTGGAGTGGCTGTCTCCAAGTAGTAAATGTCATACACATAGTCATCCTTCTCTTCCTCCCGGTGCCCGACACTTGGTCCATCCTCAGATATAGTTAACCGCTCAGGGAGCAACTCTTGTGGCGGATACACTGAGGGGTGGCCCGGGGTCGGGGCAGAGCGCGCAGGAGCGGCTGGACCAGGTCCTCCTGGGAGCATGTGGTGGCCACCAACTGGAAGACATTTTTCTCTGCTGTTTTCTACAGACCCTCGGGGGGGTGTCTCTTGGACCGCCGACTCCCCCGCATCTCTCCGGAAGCGTTTACAGGCGAGGACCAGGGCCTCGGCAGGCTCCTCGCTGGGCTTCCGCTTCACGCGGAGTGTAGCCGTGCGACTAGCCTCCATAGCGGTAATCGCCGTGCGACTAGCCTCCATAGCGGTAATCGCCGCGCGACTAGCCTCCATAGCGGTAATCGCCGCTCAACTAGCCTCCATAGCGGTAAACGCCGCGCGACTAGCCTCCATAGCGGTAAACGCCGCGCGACTAGCCTCCATAGCGGTAAACGCCGCTCGACTAGCCTCCATAGCGGTAAACGCCGCTCGACTAGCCTCCATAGCGGTAAACGCCGCGCGACTAGCCTCCATAGCGGTAATCGCCGCGCGACAAGCCTCCATAGCGGTAATCGCCGTTTGACTAGCCTCCATAGCGGTAATCGCCGCGCGACTAGCCTCCATAGCGGTAATCGCCGCGCGACTAGCCTCCATAGCGGTAATCGCCGCGCGACTAGCCTCCATAGCGGTAAACGCCGTTTGACTAGCCTCCATAGCGGTAAACGCCGCGCGACTAGCCTCCATAGCGGTAATCGCCGTTTGACTAGCCTCCATAGCGGTAATCGCCGTTTGACTAGTCTCCATAGCGGTAATCGCCGTTTGACTAGTCTCCATAGCGGTAAACGCCGCTCGACTAGCCTCCATAGCGGTAATCGCCGCGCGACTAGCCTCCATAGCGGTAAACGCCGCTCGATTGGCCTCCATAGCGGTAAACGCCGCGCGACTAGCCTCCATAGCGGTAAACGCCGCGCGACTAGCCTCCATAGCGGTAAACGCCGCGCGACTAGCCTCCATAGCGGTAAACGCCGCTCGACTAGTCTCCATAGCGGTAAACGCCGCTCGATTGGCCTCCATAGCGGTAATCGCCGCGCGATTGGCCTCCATAGCGGTAAACGCCGCGCGACTAGCCTCCATAGCGGTAAACGCCGCGCGACTAGCCTCCATAGCGGTAAACGCCGTTTGACTAGTCTCCATAGCGGTAATCGCCTTGCGACTAGCCTCCATAGCGGTAATCGCCGTTTGACTAGTCTCCATAGCGGTAATCGCCGTTCGAGTAGTCTCCATAGCGGTAATCGCAAAGCACGTCCAGAGGTGTGGATTCTTGGTAAAATAATGTGTAGCGCAACAGAAAGGAAAACTGTGTTCCTCTGCGCGGAAACCACCAGTAAAGGGTAAAACGATAGTAACCCAGTCTGAGGATAAAGCAGACCGCCCCTAGTAACGCCAGAGTTCCCTTCCCCAAGACGTACAACACCTAGTTCAGTTATGGTGGCGTTTTAGCGCTAGCGGTATTTTCTGCCCAAAGTTTGCACAAGATGTTTTTCAAGTAAGTTTCTTGTACTTAGAAATGACAAGTTAAAAAAAAGTCTTTTAAACTTGAAAAGCATTGTACTCTGCGCAGGGTATTATGGGTATGCAAATGAGGCTAAGTCATCACCCTTGACATTGTACAGATACCTTAGTAGTCACTGGGTGCCTCTGGAGCCACCATTAGAGGGCGAAGCAGAGGTCAGGCTGACTGGGCTCTAAACCTCATTCTGGTTCAATCATCGAAACTGGTTTTTTTTCCTTTTTGTTTTTTTAATTAAATCTTTATTGTTCAGATTATTACAGTTGTTCCTCTTTTTCCCTCCATAGCTCCCCGCCACCCTGTTCCCACCCCAGCCTCAGCCCTCACCCCCCCCACCGCTGTCCTCATCCATAGGTGCACGATTTTTGTCCAGTCTCTTCCCGCATCCCCCATACCCCTTTCCCCCCCAAGAATAGTCAGTCCACTCCCTTTCTATACCCCTTGAAGAGACAGAACAGAACTTGAAAGAACTAAGCAGAACTAAGCAGAAATGCACCCTCCTCCCTCTTCAAGGACGAAGCAGGGACATACTCTTCTCCCTCTCCTCTATCTTGTCTTGCAAGCCTGGGCCCTCAGCCCAAGCCGCCCCCCCCCACCCCCCCCCCCCGAGAGTGACCACAAGAATGCTGGTATTGTCCTAACTCTCCCAACCACCCACCTGAGTGGACCAATGAAGCTCCAGAAATGTAGCTAAGGTCCTAATAAGGCTATAGTGGAGGACAGTTCCAACCTTCAGAATGTGATGGTCACTTCCTGACCCTTATGCTGTAAAACCCTGACCAATCTCTGTAACTCACGCCACCCCTAAAGCCCACCCCAAATAGCTAGCCCTATATAATCTTTGTTCTCCTGGGACACGCTCTCTCGCCTCACCGCTGTGCCGGATAGAGGCTGGGAGCCAATTCTATAGAATTGATCAATAAAGACTCGTTGCTTTTGCATCAGAGGAGGCTCCCTGGTGGTGGATTATTGGGGACCCCGAGCTCTGGGCATAACACCCTGATTCTATTATAGTCACCAGTTTATTCTGTTCATCACGTCAGGGTTAGCTCAGTGGAAAGAGCGTTGGCCACACTGTTCAATTCCGGCCACTTCTCTCTTATCAATGTTTCTTTTTCTTTTTTTTTTTTTTTTAAGATATTTTATTGCTGAAATGGCTCAGTGGATAGAGCGTCGGCCTGCGGACTGAAGGGTCCCAGGTTCAATTCCGGTCAGGGGCATGTACCTGGGTTGCGGGCACGTCCCCAGTGGGGGATGTGCGGGGGGCAGCTGGTCGATGTTTCTCTCTCATCGATGTTTCTAACTCTCGAAACATCGATCAGCTGCCTCCTGCACATCTAATGGAGATGTGCCCGCAACCCAGGTCCATGCCCTTGAACGGAATTGAACCTGGGACCTTTCAGTCTGCAGGCCGACTCTCTATCCACTGAGCCAAACCGGTTTCGGCTAAAGGTCTTTTGAAGCAAGTCTCTAGAGGCTGGGGTAAACGTAATCAGGTCACTATTTCCTTATGTTAGAGCAGTGATTCTCAACCTTCCTAATGCTGTGGCCCTTTAATACAGTTCCTTGTGTTGTGGTGACCCTCAACCATAAAATTATTTTTGTTGCTACTTCATAACTGTAATTTTGCTACTGTTATGAATCGTAATGTAAATATCTGATACGCAGGATGTATTTTCAGGGGTCGCGACCCACAGGTTGAGAACTGCTGAATCGTAGCTATAATTTATTTATATTCAAACTTATATAGTGTCACCAGATTCTTTGTGTGCCACCAATGAGGAATGCTTCTTAGTACACTTGGCAAATCTGAAACCCGCCCAGTCGGTTGTGAGAATTCGGTCCATTCATTGAGAAGAGAGCATGAGAGAGTAGCCACAACAACTTCACACAACCTTAGACAATTGCAGCGCTGCTGGTTCCTGCAGTACTGATAATTACCGCGTGAAATTTCGCAGTTGTTCTCGCGGGAGAAAACCAGCCGCCGGGGCAGAGTCGCAGTACTGGTGCGCAAGCGCAATTTTGCCAACGCCCCATTCTTCCTACGCACGCGCTGGTGACGTCAGAAGTCAAGGGAAGGCCGCCTACAAGGGCAAGTCTGCATTTCCTCCCCCTTCCCTGGCCCATTCTCAGTTTCACTTCCGGTCCCTTATTTCCGGTTCCTTCCCTGCCCCCCTTTTTTCCTTCCGACAGAAAAATCGGTGGTGCGTCAGTTAGAATCTTCAGTTCCCGCCGGGGTTGGCCTCCCCTGAGGCCGGGAAGTTCTCTGGCCACGCGGTCCGAGGGCGGCCCCCCTTACTTGCACCATGGTGAGTAGGGGGACGGGATGTAGGGAGAGCGAGCCGGCGGGCCGTGAGGACTCCCCCACCATCGGAGGCGCTCAGGCGGCATCACTGCGGGCCTCGGGCTCCTAGACTGTAATTTGGGAATTCTTTTCTTGCCTCTCTTTAGCTGTCAGAATTTGGAGGAGGAAACTGGAATGTCGAGAGCCACCATCTCCCAATGGTGTTTTAATCTGGACGAAGCGCTTTACGTTACAGATAGGGGAAACTAAGGAAATGAGAGGCTCTAGGACCGGCCCCGATTCAGGGTGTCGGATTGTTTGTCCCCAAGTCACACTGCGGTTGTGACCATATGTTCCTAAGAGTATTTGACTTAACGTCCGTTCTTCCCCGCAAGTTGTAAACTTTCCGAGGGTAGGGTCTGTTCACCATTTCTTCTAATGTCCAACACTGTGTCTGACACGTTGCAGAAGTTCAGTAACGTGTGAATGAATGTCACAGTGTCATTGCATGAGGGTGCGATCTCTGGGCTGGCGTGGTAAGTGGGCTTCATTCAAGAAGTGCTCACGACGGGTAAACAGAAGAGTGCTGGTACAAAAATGACGCGCATACGTGTTGGTTACAATAGTATTTTCATTAAGTGAGGCCTCCATAAGAAGCACTCGACGCCATAGTAAGGTTAGAATAATTACAACATAAGGGCACAGTATAGAATAATTACAACATAAGGGCATAGTGGAAGCCCTTATAGATTGATGAGCACAAGTGCCTAAGAAGAAAGGAACCAGCTGGCTAGAAGCAGCACTTTCTGTAGGAGGACATGCTCCAAAGTTACTGCTGCATACTGTCCTTTCTGAACTCTGGCGAGCAGTGGGCATCTCCTTGGACCTGGATATTTATGGTTACAGGAGTTGTTGGGTATTTTATACAACTGTCACCATCACACGTTCATCACCCTGGATACATACCCTTATCACTGATCACTTATAATTGATTCATTGTTTTGGAGGACGTTCCTGTGAATTCCATGGGAAGAACCATGGCAGAATTCCCAGCACCTCGCATGGTGTTTTAAGCATGGAGTCAGCATTGAGAAACACTGAATTTAATATTTAGGAACTATAGGCTTTAATGAAATACTTAAGGCACAGACCACCTCAGCCTTCAGCAGGATGGCTTCCCCTCCGAGAGCCTCTATTTTATTCCTTAGTAGACATTGTGCTCATTTATCCCAAAAGCATTTGCCAAGTTTGTTTCTGTGTCCAGTGAAGTGGAGGGTCAGAAAGGAGTTTTAAGTGAGCTCATTTGCTGAGTGTCTATAAACTGCATAACTGATGTCTTCATGTATTTCTCTCATTAAGTCATCATGACATTTCTATGAGATAAGAGGTACACACTATTGTTTAAAGTAGGCTTAGAGAGACTACTTCTTAGGGATGGTAAGTTGAAGAGCCGAGAATAAAATTCAGTTACATGACTCAGCAAGAATTCTTTCTACTTATATCCAGAAAACATTTTCCCTGCCTGACATTGTGTTTTTCAGGGATAATTGACTTGGCACTAATGTGACAATACTTACATAAAACTCACTTTGTAAAAGTTTTCCTCAAATTGCATTGCCGGGGAACAGGCAGTTGTGATGCTGGATAGGAAGTGCCATGGTAGGTATACCCAGACAAAGGGTAGCAGTTGAGCTGGGAAGAAGGGGGTCATGAAAGAACTTCTGGGATAGTGATGACAAAGGTAAATTTTGAAGGATGACCAGGAGTTAGATCCAAGGGGCTGGGGAGCAAAGATTTTAGATAGAGGGAGCAGCATAGGTAAAGTCACAGGATTTGGGATATCTTTTAATATATATTTTTAATATGTTTTTATTGATCTTAGAGAGAGAGGAAGGGAGAGGGATAGAGAGAAGGAAATATTCATAAGAGAGAACCATTGATCGGCTGCCTCCTGCATGCCCCCTAATGGGGATCGAACCTGCAACCTGGGCATGTGTCCTGACCAGGAATGGAACTGTGACCTCTTGGTTCATACTTCGAGGCTCCACCACTGAGCCACACTGGTAGCACATAATATATTGTTTTATTTTGAGAGGATGTTTACTAAAGCTGGGGACAAGGAAGGGCTTAGGATAGAAGAAGCAACAGGAGAGAGCCTAGGCAGGGTTGCTTTGGGTCTCTAGAAATGTTATAGGAAAGAAAAGAGCCTCGGCCGCTTTGGCTCACTGGAAAGTCAAAGGAAAGGAGCCTTGGAGATGGGGTCAGGGTTAGCCCAGGATGAGCTGTTGCTGCCCATTGCTCCTCTGGTTGCAAGTCATTTTAAAAATGGATATTGTTCTTCCCTTCTCTCTCCTTTCAGGCCCGAAATGCAGAAAAGGCCATGTAAGTATCAACTTGATTTTGTCTGTAAATTTTATGTAACAATTATTACCACAGAGCTCTTTCTGTATTTGGTCCTTTTGGTATATGAGCCTTTTGGTACATGTTTCTCTACATACTTTAAAATAGTATTCCCATATTTTCCCATTTGTTTTCCCCATTAGTGTTTTCTGACAGCTCCTAGAACTTTACCAGATGAACATTCATTCATCTGGGGATGGTGCATGGGCTGTGAGAGTGGCAGCTAGGGCACCCCAGGATATTAGCCTTTAACATCTGGATGTGTTGCTCACCGCAGTGGTCTGATAAATAGTTTCCCACAGTCCTTACATGCAGTGAAAATAAAATAAAAACTCATAACTTCTCTGGTTTCTAAATCACAACACACACACACACACACACACACACACACGATGTTAAATATGGTCATGAGCTGATTTACCCTATCCAGGAACTTGGGTGACAAGAGTCTGTGAGCAAGATCTAATGGAGTCTTCTTTCTTTCTGGTAGGACGGCCTTAGCAAGATTTCGCCAAGCTCAATTGGAAGAGGGAAAAGTGAAGGTTGGTGTAAATTTTCCTCATACGTTGTAAATATCATGAACAAATGTGGTAAAATTCTCTCCTGAGTAGTCTTCAAAACTCCAAATCTTCCTATTTCTTGTCTGCACTTGACACACTTATGAACCTATACAGTTAAATTCCAGGTGTATGTCTCTGTACCTGGGGCAGTGTGAGGATTTGGCTGCTTGTCCTTCTGTCTCTTTTGTACGATGATAATTGAGTTCTGATATCCCAGCTCTATTTAATATTGAATAATAGGAAGTGGAAGTGCTATGGGGAACAGCTCTAACCTGAAACCAATAAATGATCTCAAACTCACAGAGACTCAGCCAGGTTAGGGATAAAATGTACCATTCTTTGAATTATTTTATTTTTTTCTTCAGTTTTTTGTAATAGTTTCAGGTGTACAGAGTAGTGATTAGACAATCATACACTTTACAGACTGTTCCCCCTAATATTTCTAGTTTCACCTGACACCATACATAGTTATTACAATATTATTGACTATATTCCCTATTCTGTATTTTACATCCCCATGACTATTTTGTAACTACCAATTTGTACTTCTTATTCCCTTAACCTTTTTCCCCAGTCTCCCAACCTGTCCCCTGCCCTTCTGGCAGTCATCAGTCTGTTCTCTATGAGTTTCTTTCTGTTTTGTTTGTTCGTTTATATTGTTCTTCAGATTTCACATATAAGTGAAATCACATGGTGTTTGTCTTTCTCTGACTGACTTATTTTACGTAGCATAATACCCTCTAGGTCAGCGGTTCTCAACCTGTGGATCGCGACCCCTTTGGCGGTCGAACGACTCTTTCACAGGGGTCGCCTAAGGCCATCCTGCATATCAGATATTTACATGACGATTCATAACAGTAGCAACATTACAGTGATGAAGTAGCAACGAAAATAATTTTATGGTTGGGTCACAACATGAGGAACTGTATTTAAAGGGCCAGAAGGTTGAGAACCACTGCTCTAGGTCCATCTATGCTATCACAAATGGTAAGATTTCATTTATTTTAAAAAAACAAAAACCATTTTTATTGACTTAGAGAGGAAGGGAGAGGGAGAGACAGAGAAAGAGAGAGAGAAACATTAATGTGAGAGAGAAACATTTATCAGCTGCCTTCCACATGCACCCCAACGGGGGATTGAGCCTGAAACCTAGACATGTGCCCTGACTGGGAATCGAACTGGTGACCTTTTCTGTGCACCTGATAATGCTTGACCAGCTGAGCAGCACTGGCCAAGGGCATTCTTCTTTATGGTTGAGTAATATTCCATTGTATATATATGTACCACAATTTTTAAAAATGTATTTTTATTGATTTCAGAGAGGAAGGGAGAGAGAGGTAAAAATGATGAGAGAGAATCATTGATCAGTTGCCTCCTACACGCCCCACACTGGGGACTGAGCCTGCAATCTGGGATGTGCCCTGACTGGGAATCGAACCGTGACTTCCTGGTTCATGGGCCGAGGCTCAACTACTGAGCCACGCTGGCCAGGCTATTATTGGACTTTTAAGTTGTTTCCATTGGCTTACTGTATTAAATACAATGCAATGAATGTTTTTGTTTATATAGTTGTTTCCTAAATAGAGACTATAGAGTGGGTTTAAGACTTGATTAAGATCTGCAATTGGAACTTCAGATGTGTTTAAACCATTAGACATCTTAGATTTCAGGCCTGAATCAGTTGAATGGTGAATGAAGCTTGTACTTTCATACAATATAGTGCTAACGTGTATAGCTTCTTTTTAGGAACGAAGACCCTTCCTTGCCTCAGAATGTACTGAGTTGCCGAAAGCTGAGAAGTGGAGACGACAGGTAAATTCTGAATATGATCTTAGTAGAAGTAACAAGTCTCTAATTGCTTCTTATTACCTAAATGACTCTTAAAACCAAAATTCTAAGTTTTTTAATCACCAGTTTTTAATTATATTTTCCTTTGCTTTTAGACATATTGAAAAGTCATAAGAATTTACTGACTTTTTTTTTTTTACAGATCATTGGAGAGATCTCTAAAAAAGTGGCTCAAATTCAGAATGGTAAGTTTATCTACTTAAAGTGCTTGATTTTAAAAGACACAATTAGACTTGGGGACTTTGACACACTATTCTACCTTTTTATTGATTTATTGATTGATTGTAGAAAGAGAGAGGGAGGGATAGAGAAAGAGAATATTTGTTCTAGATCTGTGAAATATGCTTTTGGTATTTTTATTTATTTATTTATTTATTTATTTATTTATTTATTTACTAGAGGCCTGGTACATGAATCTGATGGGGGCCGATCGGGCAGGGCTGGTGGGGAGGAGGGGACATAGGTGGTTGGCCGGCTGGCCCTGCCCCTGATCCGGGTGTGTGTGGGGGGGCCGATCGGGGGTGAGGCTGGCCAGGGGGAGGGGCCATGGGTGGTTGTGGAGAGGGGCCTATGGGGCCCTGATCAGACCTGTTGGCTGCTACAGTGCGCGTCATAGTGACCAGTTGTTTGGGTCACTGGGCTTTTATATATATAGATTTTTATTTATTTTTTGTTAATTCTCACCCGAGGATATTTTTCCAGTTATCTTTTATTTATTTTTTTAATCATTATTTTTTAATGAGGCCTTTTTTTTTTTTTTTTTTTTTTTCAATTAATCTTCACCAGAGGATATTTTTCCATTGATTTTTAGGAAGAGTGGAAGAGAGAGGGAAAGACAGAGAGAAACATCAGTGTGAGAGAAACACATCAATTGGTTGTCTCCTTCACGAGCCCTGACCAGGGCCAGGGCTGGGGAGGAGCCTGCAACCAAGGAATGTGCCCGTGATCAGAATCGAACTTGGGACCCTTTGGTCTGCAGGTTGACGCTCTATCCACTGAGCCAAACTGGCTAAGGCTGTCTTTGGTATTTTAATAGGAATTGTATTGAAGCTATAGATTGCTTTGTGTTGTATGGATATTTTAATTATGCTAATTCTTCCAATCCTTGAACACCGTATATGCTTCCATTTGTTTGTTTTTTCCTTTATTTCTCTTTTCAATGTCCTGTTTTTCGAGTACAGGTGTTTTACCTCCTTGGTTTAGTTTATTCTTAGGTATCTTATTTTTTTGTTGCAGTGGTAAATGGGGTTATCTTTTTAGTTTCTCTTTCTGAGAGTTCATTACTGGTGTATAAAAATGCCATTGATTTCTAGATGTTAATTTTGTATCCTGCTTCTTTGCCAAATTCATTTATTAAATCTAGTATTTTTTGGTGGAGTGTTTTGGGTTTTCTATATATAATATCCTGACATCTTCGAGGAATGACAGTTTTACTTCCTTCTTTCCAATTTGGATGACTTTTTCTCCTTGTCTGATTTCTTTTTTCATCTCATTGGTAACCCATTCATCATTTAATAACATGCTATTTAGCCTCCATGTGTTTGAATGTTTTTTAGTGTTTTTGTTGTCGATTTCTATTTTTATGCCATTGTGATCTGAGAAGATGCTTGATATGATTTTAGTCTTCTTAAACTTATGAAGACTTATTTTGTGTTCCAGCATGTGGTCTGTTTTGAGAATGTTCCACGTGCACTTGAGGAGAATGTATATTCTGCAGCTGTGGGATGAAATGTTCTGTAAATATCAATTAAATCCATCTGATCTAGTGTGTTGTTTAAGGACATTGTTTACTTGTTGATTTTTGTTTGGAAGATCTATCCAGTATGTCAGTGGGGTGTTAAAGTCCCCTAATATGTCTATTGTTGTGGCATTTATTTTTATGATCATGACACTGAGTGGTGTTTTGAAGATATGATATGAATGTTTTTGTTTTATAGCTGGTTTAGGTGAATTCCGAATTCGTGACCTGAATGATGAAATTAACAAATTGCTAAGAGAGAAAGGACACTGGGAGGTCCGGATAAAGGAGCTGGGTGGTCCTGATTATGTAGTAAGTAAGCAACAGTCCCTGTGGCTGTTCGGGATGAGCTTGTGAGATTTTGGGCGGGCTGGATAGGGCCTGTCTAGGAGCCTGCAGCTCCCAGCCTGTGACTGCTAGAGGGCAAGCACTCACGACATGAAAGAAAGCTTGAAAAAGTCCCTGTTGGCCCTAGCCCGTTTGTCTCAGTGGACAGAGCGTCGCCCTACGGACTGAAGGGTCCCTGGTTCTATTCTAGTCATGGGCACATGTGTGGGTTGCAGGCTTGATCCCCAGTAGGGGGAGTGCAGGAGGCAGCCGATCAGTGATTCTCTCATCAGTGATGTTTCTATCTCTCTCCCTCTCCCTTCCTCTCTGAAATCAATAAAAATATATAAATATTTTTTTAAAAGGTACCTGTTGCATGTGGACAGGAAATCTATGAAAAGGATAGGTTGGATAATGTTTAAAGACTCCACAGAACAAGGCTCAGATCAGATAGGATACCTACAAATACCAGCCAGATGTCCCTGAGTAAGCCCCTTGGTTTCTCTGGGCCTTGTTTAAAATGACCATGGCCCTGCCCAACCGGCATAGCTCAGTGTTTGAGTGTCGACCCATGAACCAGGTCACGGTTCAATTCCCAGTCAGGCCATGTGCCCAGGTTGCAGGCTCAATCCCCAGTGGGGGGAGTGCAGGAGGCAGCCAATCAATGATTCTCTCTTATCATTGATGCTGAGCCCCAGTGTGGCAGGTGGTGGCTGAGTCTGCCACTGAGGTTAGAGTCCCCTCCCTGGTATGTTGATTTTTCTCCCAGCTGCTACCTAATCGATGAAAAGAGTTATTACAATGGATGGTGGTGATGGTTACATGACCTTATGAATGTATTTAATATCAGTTTTGTGTATGCATAAGAATGCTTAAGATGGTAATTTTTTTTTTCCTCATCCAAGGATATGTGAGGGTGGGGAGAGGGAAGGATAGAGAGAGAGAGAGAGAGAGGAAAAAAAAAGAAACATCGATGTATGAGAGAGAATCACATTAATCGGTTCCCATATGTGCCCCCACCGGGAATTAAAATGCTAACCTTTCTGTCCACGGGATAATGCTACAACCAATTGAGCCACACTGACCAGGGTGATGGTAAATTTTATGATATGTGTATTTTTCCACAATAAAAAAAGAAGAAATAATACATTGTCATCAAGTTCAGAAAAGTATAAAGAAGCAGAACAACACTTAGTTGTCTGCAATACTTGAATATTTCCTTTTTTTGTAATCCTGCTTTTTTCTTTGATCGTCATCTGAGGATATGTATAATAATAAAAGCCTAATATGCTAATTAGGCCAGAAGTCCTTCTGGATGACCTTCCGGACGAAGCTGGGGCTTCCAGGGTAGCCCAGGTCCGGGGTGCCTGCCCGCAGCTGGAGGGAAGCCTGGGTCCCAGGTCTGGGTCCCAGGTGCCGGAGGGAAGCCGGTGCTGGCAGCCGGGGGAAGGAAGGCCTATCCTTGCACGAATTTCGTGCAAGGACCTTGGCCCCGGCCCCCGCCCGCCATGGCCGGGGGCCTCTGCGGCCTCTGCTTTGGCCCCTGTCCACCACCGCGTGGCGGAGGGCCTCTGCCACCTCTGCTGTGGCCCCCGCCTACTGTGGCTTTGTCTGGGAGGAAGGACATCTGGAAGGACATCAGGTCTAATTAGCATATTACCCTTTTATTATTATAGATTTTTTTTTTTTTTTATTTAGAGAGAGGAAGGAGGCAGGGAAAGAGAGAGAGATAGAGAAGTATCCATGTGAGAAAGAAATATCATTTGGTTGCCTTCTATACCTGGCTTGACTAGGGACCGAACCCACAACCTGGGTATGTGCCCTGACCAGAAATTGAACCCACCACGTTTCAATATATGGGAGAACACTCAACCAACTTTTAGGTATTTAGATGGATTTTTAAAGGATAAAAAGGTACCTAATTATTTTTCTGTGTACATAAATATTTTCTCTTTTTCTTTGCCGTTAAGAAAGTTGGCCCTAAAATGCTGGATCATGAAGGCAAAGAAGTCCCGGGAAATCGAGGTTACAAATACTTTGGAGCAGCAAAAGATTTGCCTGGTGTTAGAGAGCTATTTGAAAAAGAACGTAAGTAATTAATGTTTGTGTGGGTTTTGGCCTCAAATGTTTTTTAAACATTACAAATAGACTTTTACTTGTCACCATTGAAGTAAGTCTGAATTTTAAGCCTTTGAGTGCCAACCAATATCCTAGGAACTATGCTAAAATTGCCAAGGCATTTTTGCTGATTTTACAGCAGTTTAGGAAAAAAATTATGAATCGCAAGTAAATGAAGTTACATATTCAAAAACTTAAGGAAACCTTTACTACATTTGTTTTCATCTTTGACATATATTGTTTGCTGATTGTATTATAAAATACTAGTAGAAAAAATATTTGAACAAAACATATAATGTTAAAATAGAGGGACACCCTTCTCCAGTATCTTCCACAAAATTGTCATCTTCACATCAAGAATTGACATATTTAGCAATATCATCATCACTAATAAAAGCAGACTTAGAACTGGATGCCATTTCGAAGCTTTAGGGCTACAGAATCTGAGTAAACTTCATAAAAATCGTAGTACCTGTAAAAAATTAGGCAGATAAATGCCAGTCGTCAATTTTAGAACTACAAACGTTCGGCATCATAAGTACTCTGCACTTAGGTGCCATCTGTCAATGAAGAGTGAACTACTAGCATCTAATAGTGACACTGCAGGAGGAGCGTGATCGTGCTCCCCGGCACTCTAGGGGTTAAACAGATTCTTGGCCTGGGGGCTCATATCCATTAGCTCACTTAACTTTCAGAGCCTGACTCATCCCTAGTGGCTTTGCCAGAACTGCTACCTTCACCATGAAGCTTCATGAGTTTTCCCAATTCAAACTTGTGCTTCTTCAGCATTTTTACTTTTCTGACAAAGACATCATGGAGCAGACAAATAGAATGGCAAGACTTTTCTATGTCTTTTCCAATGCTATCTGGAATCAATTTTTTGACTACTTCTTTCAGGTCATTTGTACCTCTTGGGTCATGATTTTCAACTTTTTCCGGATTTGGCAGACTGTTGATACTGAGCCTAAGAAGTCTTTTGAACCTGATTTCTGTGTTTTTTAGTAAAACCAACACAGAATAGATGAATTAAATAACTGTCGGTAGTCTTGATGTCAACATGAGCTTTAATCATGGGCTACTATTTTTTGAATATGGAACACATTTTGTCACAGGTTAAGATCCATGTCATGAAAATTGGGCAGTTTTTGCCCTGAGTATCCTCAGTAATTAGCTTTAACTTTCTAAATACAACTTTATCATTCTCAGATAAGTTAGGCTCACTTCAAAAACATGACCCTTAAGACCATCAGGCCGAAACCGGTTTGGCTCAGTGGATAGAGCGTCGGCCTGCGGACTGAAGGGTCCCGGGTTCGATTCCGGTCAGGGGCATGTACCTGGGTTGCGGGCACATCCCCAGTAGGAGGTGTGCAGGAGGCGGCTGATCGATGTTTCTCTCTCATCGATGTTTCTAACTCTCTATCTCTCTCTCCCTTCCTCTCTTTAAAAAATAAAAAAAATAAATTTAAAAAAAAAAAAAAAAAAAAAGACCATCAGGTGCAATTTGGGTTTCTTGAGTCCTGTGACTAGTGTTTTTCTAATATTTCTTACATTGAACATAACTCGTGCTTTCACATCATACCAATCTTTCTCAGAAAACAGATCAACCACTTTCTCTTTGGCTCCCTTTTTGCCACTTTCTGATGCCGCTCAGAGAACCAAAAATACTAGCCTTGAATTTATTAGTAATCATCATAACAGTAGACATGCTGTTTGCTGGTTGCTTCTCCTATATTACTTCTTAGCTGCACAACAGCCCAGTAGTATCAGAATTATTGTTCCCAAGTTTTTAACAAGAACCTTTAAGCACTAGGAAATGAATTTACAGGCCCAGGGTACATAATTGGGGCTGAAAAGTACCTAGAAATGACTAGTGCCAAATTCCACACTCTTTGCACATACTAGACTCTTATTCTGAATGAGGAGTTCCTCTCTTTTAAATGTCCCAAAATTACAAGGCAGGATTTTAATTGAATTGGATTCATATTTCACTTACCTATTATTTGGGGGGGAACCCCCCCCCCAAAAAAAAACACCTGACAAGTAAAACCATGGACCTAACCACAATAGGTAAAGATAGAGAAAAGTCAAGCTGCTCTGTGTCAATCCAAGACAGGCACCCTTATTTCTCCTGTCCTTTCACGGCCCTGGGAAACTTCAGTTGGCCTTTCACAATGGAAACCACTGGTCTGGAGTTTTCGTGCACAGGCATACACTGGAGATAGTACAGGTTCAGTTCCAGACCACAGCAATAAAGCAAATATCTCAGCAAAGAGAGTTATGAATATATTGGTTTCCCAGTATATATAAAGTTGTTTACACTATACTGTAGTCTATTAAGTTTGCAATAATAGCATTATGCTAACAAATAATGTACACACCTTAATTTAAAAATATTTTATTGCTAAAAAATGTTAACCATCATCTGACCCTTTAGTGAGTAATCATCTTTTTGCTGATGGAGGGTCTTTCCTTGATGTTTATGGCTGATGACTCATCAGGTTGGTAGTTCCTAAAGACTGGGGTGGCTTTGGCAATTTCTTTCTTTCTTTTTTTTTTTTTTTTAATATATTTTATTGATTTTTTACAGAGAGAAAGGGAGAGAGACAGAGAGTTAGAAACATCGATGAGAGAGAAACATCGATCAGCTGACTCCTGCACACCTCCCAGTGGGGATGTGCCCGCAACCCAGGCACATGCCCTTGACCGGAATCGAACCTGGGACCCTTCAGTCTGCAGGCCGATGCTCTATCCACTGAGCCAAACCGGCTTCGGCTGGCAATTTCTTAATAAGACAACAGTGAACTTTGCCTCATTGTTTCACTCTTCCTTTCATGAATGATTCTCTGTAGCATGCCATGGTGTTTGATAGTATTTTACACACAGTAGAACTTATTTCAAAATTGGAGTCATACATACACACACACACACACACACACACATACACACACACTTGGAGTCAGTCCTCTCCAACCTGCCACCACTATATCAAGTGTATGTAATATTCTAAACCCTTTGTTGTCATTTCAACACTCTCCACGGCATCTTCATCTTCTATCCACTGAGCCAAACTGGCCAGGGTTTCTATTCCATCTCAAGTAACCACTTTCCTTGCTGATCTATAAGAAGCAACTCCTCATCCATTCAAGTTTTATCATGAGGTTGCAGAATTCAGTCCCATCTTCAGGCTCCACTTGTAATTCTAGCTCTCTTGCTGTTTCCACCACATTTACAATTACATCCTTGACTAGAGTCTTGGACCCCTCAAAGTCATCCATGGGGGTTGGAATCAGCTTCTTCCAAATTCTGGTTAATGTTTATATTTTGACCTTCTCATGAATCATGGATGTTCTTAATGAAATGTAGAATGGTGACTCCTTTTCAGCAGATATTTCATTTATTTGCCCAGATCCATCAAAGGAATCACTATTTATGGCAGCTATCGCCTTACAAAATATATTTCTTAAAGAATAAGACTTAAAAGTTAAAATTACTCTTTGATCCATGTGCTTCATAATGGATGGTGTGTTAGCAGACATGAAAACAACATTAATCTCATACATCTCTTGGGTGACCAGCTGCATTGTAATGAGCAGTAATATTTAGAAAAGAATCGTTTTTTTCTGAGCATTAGGTCTCAACAGGAGCTTAAAGTATTCAGTAAACCTTGTTGTAAGCAGATGTGCTGTCATGTAGGTTTTTTGCCCCATTTATAGACAGGCAGAGTAAATTTAGCATAATTATTTTGTAATTGAATTTTCTTATTTTTATTTTTTATTTTTAGAGAGAGAGGGGGGTAGGGAGAGGGATAGAGACAGAAACATCGATGAGAGAAACATCAATCGACTGGCTCCTGCATATCCCCTGCTGGGGATAGAGCACATAACCTGGGCATGTGCCCTGACTGGAATCAAACCAGTAACCTCTTGGTGCATGGGTCAATGCTCAACCACTGAACCAAACTGGCTGGGCTATTTTTATTTCTTTTATTACTAATGAAATTGATAATTAAATTCAGTTATTAATTGACATTTGCATACTTATGAATTTTTTTCTTAAATTATCAGTTTTATTCTTTGACCAATCTGTTGGGTTATCATTTCTCTCCTCCACAACCCCAAATTTTTATTTTTCGATTTTAAGGAGAGAGAAAGTAAGGCGGGGGGGGGGGGGGGGGTGGAGAAAGAGAGAGAGAGAAAGAAGGAAGGAAAGGAGGGAGGGAAAGAAACATCGACTTACTGTTTCACTTATTGATGCAATCATTGCTTGATTCTTGTATATGCCCTGACCGGGGATTGAACCCATAACCTTGCATATCGGATGACACGCCAATCAACTGAGTTACCCAGCCAGGGTGTCATTTCCCTTTTGATTTTCAAGATTTACTTAAATATTCTGAATAGTAATCCTAAGTCTGAAAATATTTTCTTCAGACCTTTCTCACTTATCTGTTTTGTTTTTTTATAGTTTGTTTTTTATATACTTATGTTTTCCCCTAATGTTTTTTTTCCCCCCGTGTTTTTGGGTTTTTTTTTCATTAAACATTATTGCATTTTCTGTTATCAAAGCACCTTGTGAAAAACAGTATTATTGGGGCTGGAGGCTACCCCATCTCATACACATTCTGCAATGAACTATTCTAAGATATTCTCAATTTTCATTGTTATATAAATAGTGCTGTGATGTACATCTCTGTCCATAAAGCTTTGCCAGCTTTTGTTGTTGTTTAATTAGGATAGATTTTTTTTTCTCTCTTCTCTCTCTCTCCCTTTTTTTTTGTTAATCCTCGCCTGAGAATATTTTCCCATTGATTTTTATTTATTTACTTATTTTTTTATTGATCTCAGAGAGGAAGGGAGAGGGAGAGATAGAAACATCAATGATGAGAGAGAGTCATTGATTGGCTGCTTCCTGGATGCCCCCCACTGGGGACCGAGCCCACATCGGGCACGTGCCCTCAACCAGAACCAAACCCAGGACCTTTCAGTCTGCAGTCTGATATTCTATCCACTGAGCCAAACTGGCCAGCTATTGATTTTTAGAGAGAGTGGAAAGGGGGGGGGAAGAGACAAAGAGAAACATCAATGAGAGAGAGAGAGAGAAACACATCGATTGGTTGCCTCCCGCATGCACCCCTACTGGGCCAGCTGGGGGTCAAGCCTGCAACCAAAGTATGTGCCCTTGACTGGAATCGAACCCGTGGCTCTTTGGTCCATGGGCCAATGCTTACTATCCAATGAGCCAAACCAGCAAGGACAGGATAAATTCTTTTTAAATGGACTAATTGGGTGAAAGGTTTCAACACTGATGGATAGTACCCCTTATAAAATCCAATTACTAGTGTAAAGAAATGTCTTTCATATTTTCATGAACACACATACTATATGCCTCTGTAACAGTGTGTACAGAGAAGGCTTGAGTGTGATAATGATGGGAAGTTCAGCTAAGTTGGTACTCTTTCTTTTAGCTCTTCCTCCTCCAAGAAAGACACGTGCTGAGCTCATGAAGGCAATTGATTTTGAATACTACGGCTACCTAGATGAAGATGATGGTGTTATTGTGCCTTTGGAACAGGAATATGAAAAGAAATGTAGGTCTACAGGCATTTCATTTCATTATATTTGGCATCTGGTTTCTCTCTCTTGAAACTGGGTTTTTAGATAGTGCTTTATGCCAGAAGGGAGTTTTCTTTGTTGCTAATGGTTCTCAGAGGAAATGATCTGCTAATGCCCTAACTCCCAGTAACTATGAGGCAGTTAGCATGGTGTTGGGCCAGAAGGAGCATGTTGGAGAAGCTACAGAGTGTCATCTTACCTGCTCCCTGTCCACCAGGATTCCTTCCCAGGCTAGCCTTTCTTGAACTCATGAGGTAGTGCCCACTTAAGGAGGTTTAGATCTGCTTTAAACACAGGTAATGGGATATCAGTGTAGAGCAAAATGGGTCTCCCTTTCTGAGCGCTTCCTCCATGACAAGCAAAATGCTGAGCCTTTCATGGACATTCTTTTGAAGCCTCATGACAACTCTGTGAAGAATAAGTGCTACTCCCCAGGAGGTGTACTGAACTAGGGCTTCAGAAGCAGGTAGTCAGGAGTTGGAGCCCTTTGCCAAGGTGCTGTATACGGCATCTCTTTTCACCTGGGCGCATCAGGAAGTCACCAAGGTTGATGAACGGGAGGATCTGAGGGTGTTCCCTAAAAAGCTGCCTTGTCATGACTTAAGTCAGAGCTGTGTGAGACAGACTGCCCCTCACACCTGATTCCCTCCCACCAGGGCAGAGTGAAGGGCGACCCTTTTCTGAGGGAACGTCTTGGCTTTGCTCTGCATGATGTTTAAAGCTTATTTAGAAACCAAAGTAACACCGCTGTCTCTTGTCTTCAGTCAGAGCCCAGTTAGTGGAAAAGTGGAAAGCAGAGAGAGAGGCTCGGCTGGCAAGAGGAGAAAAGGAAGAGGAGGAGGAAGAGGAGGAAGAAATCAACATCTATGCTGTCACGGAGGAGGAGGTACTGGTGGGCAGTGAGGGTCTCTCTGGCGCTCACTTACCTTCTGCTCTGAGTTGTGAAGCCTGGACCTTTTGGGAAGGGTGTCAGTGCAGGTCAAGTTTAGCCACCGCTTTTTGCCTTGCTTGGGACCTCCTGGTAAGAGCTACAAAGTGATCTGCAGTTGTGGCTGCTTGAAGGCATTTGGGGGAGGCTATGCTGTGAACCGAGGCCGACTGCCCCTAATGTTGGGCTTTGGACCCTTTGCTGGACACTGTGATATGAGCTGAGGCCAGCTGCCAGTTGTGCTAGGCTTATGGCCACTTATTTGAAGCTACATTTCAAGCTGTGACTGGCTGCCACTTATGCCAGCCTTGGGGACACCTGATAGGAGTTATGGTGCAAGTTGTTGAGACCAGTTGCTGCATATACTCAGTCTGGGGCTGCTTACCAAGAGATACAAGGCATGCTGAGGCCAGCCACTGCTTGTTTGGGGTTTATGCATCTTTCAGTGATTTTAAGAAAGTGCTTATGTGGAACAGCTGCTAGAAGAGGCTCAGGCTGGGTGATTGAGTTGAGTGGGGCTGGATCTCAGGGAATCAGGGTGGGGAGAACCATGTTAGTCAGGCTGGATGGGAGGAGGGCTCAACAAGGAAACAATGCTGCCTGCCAACATTTCTGTCCTGGAGAGAACTGCCCTGACTCCTGCCCCTCCAGCACTTGTCCTGAAGCTCGTCAATTTAGTTCCTCCCCAAATGTATCTTGCACTTTTCAAGCTGTTGCCCCAGTGCTGGAGCCCAGAGTGAATGAGTTTGTGAGTCCATTTCCAGGCCCCTCAAGAGGAGTGCCTCGGTCTCCAGCATTCCTCCGTTTCACTTGGATGAATTCTCTGCTGTTTCCACAGCCCAATGTTATGGGATTCCTCTTCCTGGCACTGGTGCTCTGGGTTGGGGAGCCTGGTATGGGGGTGGGGCCCCCTGTTCCTCACTGGGGACATCCGCAGCAGAGATATCTCTCTTGATTCTTTTTTTTTTTTTTAAATATATTTTTATTAATTTCAGAGAGGAAGGAAGAGGGAAAGATTGAAACATCAATGATGAGAGAGAATCACTGATTGGCTGCCTCCTGCACACTCCCTACTGGGGATTGAGCCCACAATCCAGGCATGTGCCCTTGACTGGAATCAAACTGGGGACCCTTCAGTCCACAGGCTGACGCTCTATCCACTGAGCCAAACCAACTAGGGCTCTCTTGATTCTTAATTGCCATACTGTGAGTATGAGACCTGCTGGTTCAGCATCTCTACCCCTCCTGCCGGTCTTGACATGACGACTTCTATGTAGCTTAGTTATAGGGCTTTTGTTCAGTTGGTCTCCAGGTTGTTCTCATGACAGTCTATAATTTAGTTGTAATTTTGATGTGGTAGTGGGAGGACAATACAGCATTTACCTACTCCATCATTTTGACCAGACTTTAAATTTAATTTTTTTTAAATAGATAATAAATTTACAAAGATCAAGAACAAAACAGTATATAAAGATAGTCAACAAAGATTGTCTTTTGCAGCTCTGCCCTCCATCTACCTAGTTCTTGCTGCTGTCACTAGTTTCTATTCTCTTTTCTTTCCTACTGCAAAAGTTAGCATACTATACACAATGTTTTGTTGATTTTTATACTTAACTAGAGGCCCGGTGCACGGATTTGTGCATCGGTGGGGTCCCTCAGCCTGGCCTGTGCCCTCTTTCAATCCGGTACCCCTTGGGGGTTGTCAGACTGCTGGTTTCCACCCAAAACTGGCAGTTCGACATCACCCAAGGCATATAGTAGTGTATGAAGCGGCAGGCGGCTGGGGAGGAGCCTGAGCCTGGGCCGGGCACCGCGCCACTTCCACTCATCCCAGCCCCGCTGCGCCTGCTGCTGCCACTCCGTAGCACTGCCGTGGAGGTGGGAGAGGCTTGCGCCCCTACAGCTGCACTTGCCAGCTGTGAGCCCAGTGTCTAGTGCCCATCAGTCAGCTAAGCGTTGCTCCTGCTATGGGAGCGCACTGACCACCAGAGGGCAGCTCCTGCTTTGAGCGTCTGCCCCCTGGTGATCAGTGTGTGTCATAGCGACCAGTCAACTGGTCGCTTAGGGTTTTATATATACATAGATGATGTCTTGGCTTTGTTTCTGTATGAGTACAGAACTTCCTAATCTCCCCGCCCCTCCCTCACCCCCCTTTTAAACAGCTGCAGAGTAGTGCATTTTATAGCACTGCCAATGTTTATTTCATGGTCTCCTACTCATGGACTCTTGATTGTTCTCTGTTTGTAGTCTGATGAGGAAGGCAGCCAGGAGAAAGGAGGCGAAGATGAGCAGCAGAAGTTCATCGCCCATGTCCCTGTGCCGTCGCAGCAAGAGGTAGGGTGAGCTGCGTTGGAGGTGTAGTTTCCCAAGTGCCAGGGGCCTTGCCTCTAAAGGAGACTCCATTGAATGCTTCACTGGGTTCTTTTCCCATCTGTCCATATGAGCAGCTCTGACTCCTGACCACATGGCACTGGTCACTGTGCTTATAATAGGGGTGGGATCTAGAGAAGCAGGATTTTATCTGCTTTAGAGGAAACTGGTAAACATTCTGTTGTTCACATGCTTCCAGTGGGAGAGAAAGGGACCTTCAAGACGCTCTGGGTATTGAGCTCAATGGCCTCCTTCACAGGGACTCCCTCCTGGCTGGGTTCCAGCAGGACATAGAGGGCCTCACTGAGGAGTGTTGCCTGAGTCTTTTACTCTTATTCACAGATCGAGGAGGCACTTGTGCGAAGGAAGAAGATGGAACTCCTCCAGAAGTATGCAAGTGAGACCCTGCAGGCCCAGAGCGAAGAGGCCAAAAGACTCATGGGATATTAGGGCTGAGTGAGGGTGCTCCCTGGGTCTGGAAACCTGTTGGAAGTTCTTCAGCCCCAGCTGGCCCTTGCATTAACCTACAGGGTTCTGCTGTCCTGGGACTACAGACTGGCAGGCTAGTGCGGCAAGGCTCCCTGCTACTTCTTACCATTCGTTCTTTTACCTTTTCTTACCTCAGCTATGGTCTCAGGGGAGGAGTCTGTCCCATCCCTCCCTTGCAGGCTGCCTACATGCTATCAGTTTAGCTGTCACCTTTGTACAAATGTTTTGCTACTGTATGAACCCACTTATTTTTATATTGAATGGGTAAAACAGGCTGCTAACTGGCTGCCTATAAGTGTTTTATTTATCCTTTAATGCCATTTGGTGGGGAGGGTGATCAATTAGTGACCACCATTTAAAAAAATGAAGTTTTTCCTAACAAGACATTATTTGTAACTCCTCTTGAAAAAAGGAAATGTGTCAACCCTGAGCCCACATCCCATGTGTCAGTAGCCAGCCAGAGCTGTACCTTTTGGGCCTGGCATAGTTTTCTGTGGCCTGCTCAGCTTGCCTCATTCCCTCCTGCCCAGGTGGCAGGAAATTGAATTTGCTATTTCTGTTTTATGACTGGTTCTGTAGAGAGCTATTTTTTAAAAATTAAAATTTATTTTTTTAAATTAAATTTATTGGGGTGACATTGGTTAATAGAATCATATAGGTTTCAGGTATAGATGTCTATGATACAAGATCTATATGTTGCATTGTGTACCCACAAATCAAAGTCAATCTTCCATCACCATATATTAGGCCACTTGAGAGCTATTTTTATTAAAGATTTTTATATGAAGGGGAAACCTCCATGCCTGCAGCTGCTTGTTCCCTGGTCTCCCTGTATCAAGGTGATGGTTGCATTAAGCTGAGGTCAGTGGGCAGAGCCAACCTTCCTGTGCCCCCTAAGTGGCCTGGGTGAAAGTACACTGGGGATGCCCAGGAAGCACCAGTTGGATCCAAACCTGCCACCTGAGCTGGGTCTTTTCTTTCCAGTGGGAGAACTGACAGCAGAGGTGCAGCCTCTAGGGCAGTGTTGGGGGGGCCTCCCCATATGCAGAGGGGTCCTGGGAGTGTCTGAGAGTCAGTGTCAGGGCCAGGAGATATTTGGTTCTTCAGGTGAGTCTTGGCTTCTTTGAAGGAAGTGCTGGTGTACCCCAACCCCCACCCAAGCCGCTGGGCAAATGTGTGCAGGGTGCAGGGAGGGGTTGAGGTAGGAGCTCTGGGAGTGGAGGCCTTGGGGCAGAGCAGAGTCAGATTCAGCTCTGGGACCCAGTACCCAGCCCGGGCCTGGCCTGAACTAGGAGGTTCAGGTGCACATTTAGTGGGGGCTTTGAATAAGCCCCTCCAGGTACCTGGCCTCAGTTTCCCTGCCTTAAAGTCCAGGACTGGACTTGTGAGTTTGACCCGGGGTCTGGGTAGTCCCTGCTATGGGCAGAGAAAAGGAAGGACCCTTGGCACAGCCTGGCCCACATCAGAGCCTCTGGGATGGGTGTGCAGTGCCCGGCTCAGATGTGGGTTTTTCTTTCAAGGGACACACATTGGGCTTGGGGCTGCCTTGCATTCACTGAGAGCAGGAAATTCAGACAACGGTGTTTCTTCTCCCTGGAAAAGGTGGTTGGCAAGTGCCTGGAGTTGGCCCATCTGGAGTTTCCAGGGCTCTGGGCCTTCCTCACTCTGTCAGCGGAATTCAGCAGCCTTCTGCCACCTGGGACAGACAGACAGGAGGCCCTGCTCCAGCCCTTCCAGTTACTAAGCTCCTCCCAACCCAGGATCTCATCTTGGCATCCCCGATGCAGGCAGGACGGGAATTAAGAATCCTATGTCCTTGGAAATGGAGGCCCCGAGTGGAGAAATGACTTGCCCAAGTGCATACAACTAGTCAGGGCAGGCCTGGACTTTGCATGGAGGTTGGTCTGAGCCCATGATGTCAGTTTGTCTCAGAACGAGGCTTGGCCGGTGGATGCATGCCACCTGGCTGCCATGAGCAGTCATGCCATGCTCTCTTCATCTCACCCCTTCGGCCGAGGCCTTTTGTGAGCGGCCAGGAGCAAACCCATTATCGTGGTGGACTCTGGGTTCACAGGATTCCTGGTGCCCGGAGCCAGTTCAGGCCTCAGCAGTGCTTTCAGCACCTAGGTGCCGAGCCCCTTCTCGGCGCTGCTCTGGGAATAAGCAGTGAACAAGAGTCTGGCCCTCACGGGGTTCTTAGATTTGACTTGGAATAAGAGCTAAACTTCCTTCCCTGACTACAGAAGTACCTGGCCTGATATCCTGCTGCTTTTCCTGGCAGAGATGGGATCCACCCCAGGCTTCTTCCTGTCTTACAGGTCCTGGCTACTTGTTTGCCAGAGACCCCAGAAATGAAATCTCTGCAGGGCCCGCACCACAGGCCAGGGACAGCAGGGAAACCTGAGTTGGCTTGGATGTGACCACTGGTGGATGTGACCGCTGGTGGGTGTGACCACTGGTGGGTGTGACCGCTGGTGGGTGTGACCACTGGTGGGTGTGACCACTGATGGATGTGACCACTGGTGGGTGTGACCACTGGTGAGTGTGACCACTGGTGGGTGTGGCCACTGGTGGCCCAGCTCATGCTCTGTCAGGATTCTTTGTTTACCAAACCGGTTTCATGGTTTCCATTACCGTTGGTTCTGCCTGAGTTTCCTAAATGGCAGCTTTCTATATACACATTTCCATGGACTTCCCTCCCCTCCCCTCTCCCCATTGGTCTTCTGAATCTAAAACATCAATCTTCCTTCTGTTTTGTTTTAAGATTTGTCCTGTCAGCCTCACCTAGACTTCCTACTGCCTTCCCTCCCTTGCACCCTATCCGCTGCACTCTGCCCCCTGACTTCACTTCACATGCCCCCACTTTGGGTAATTTATAAACGAGATTAAAAACATTTTTTAAAAAAGATTTTTTATTATTGATTTTTAGAGAAAGAAGAAGGGAGCGGGACAGAGAAACATCGATGTAAGTGGAACATCAATTGGCTGTCTCCTGCACACCCCCAGCAGGGATCTAGCCTGCAAACTAGGCAGGTGTCCTGACTGGGAATCGAACTGGCAAACTCTCAGTGCCTGGGACAACACCCAACCAACTTTCCTCCGCACCATGGGCTGCTGTGAGAGGGATGGCCTACTAATGGAGAACCAAGGGGCTGGTTTTGCTGACTCATCGAATGCCTTACCCCAACTCCATCCTTTACAACTGTCCCATCTTACTGCTTCCTCCCAAAGCCCCTGCTCACATTAATGCAGCAGGATCCCCCCTGGAGTCACCAGGTGTTCTCTCACTTCCAGCACGTACTGCTTGGCTAATGACACAGGTCCACTGGGAAACTACAAGTGGCATCCTGGCCCTTCAGGCATCTTTACATCTGCTTCCTTCCTGCTTTAACTCCCCCCACCCACCCCCCCGCCCGCAACACACACTTCCACCCCAAACAAACGAAAAAACCCCCATAGAGGTAATATCTTCTGTAGGGTTGACCCCGTACTACAGACTTCCTACACAGGGTACTTTTCTGCGAGTCCCTGAGCCTGGGTTCCCACCTCACTAAGATGAGTGGGACAGGCAGATCTGCTCCCAGGCCTCTGTCTGGGCCCTGTAGGATCCTGTGAAAACTGGTGTGGGGGAAGAAGAAACTTCTCTGCTCTCAAGGTTCTTCTGGCTGGTCTACTAATTAAATAGACGTGAGACAGCAAAAGAAAATGACCAAATATAATACATACATGTGTATGGGAACCTTGCAAACATGATAGAGAAACCTCGCATGCAGGAGAGGTTCAGAGATAGAAAGGGAACATGGATGTATATAAGACATCCTGAGCTAGGGGTGAAGTAAGGTACCTTGGGGACTTCAATGAGTCATTGCAGAATGATAACAAAGACAGACACCTAACTGTTTATTTTTTTGTTAATCCTCACCCGAGGATATTTTTCCATTGGCTTTTAGAGAGAATGAAAGGGAGGGGGAGAGACAGTGAGAGACACATTGATTGGTTGCCTCCTGCACATGTCCTGACTACGGCCAGGGATGATGTACATGCCTTTGACCAGAATAGAACCCTGGACCCTTCTGTTTGCCAGGCTGACACTCAATCCACTAGCTAGGGCCAAACCAGTTAGGGCTAAAAACAGACATTTAGTAAACTGAAGTTTACCCTGACTTCTAGACAGGTCAAAAGACATTACGTCTGTCCAACCAGTGTGGCTTAGTGGTTGAGCGTCGACCCATGAACCGAGAGCACTGGTTTGATTCCCGTTAGGAGTGTGGGCTCAGTCCCCAGTGGGGGTTGCACAGGAGGCAGCCTATTGATGATTCTCATCATTGATATTTCTTTCTCTCCCTTCCTCTCTAAAAATCAATAAAAACATATTTTAAAAAAAGAAAGCTGCAGTTCTCTAAAACTTAAAAAAAGTTATTGCCCAGCCAGTGTTGCTCAGTGGTTGACGTTGCCCTATGAGCCAGGAGGTCGCGGTTCAATTCCAGGTCAGTGGGCTCGATCCCCAGTGTGGGGCATGCAGGAGGCAGCCTATTGATGATTCTCTGTCATCATTGATGTTTCTATCTCTCCCTCTCCCTTCCTCTCTGAAATCAATAAAAATATATTTTAAAAAATTTATTTCTGATAATTTTTTATTATGGGCAAGGCCCCTGATTCGAGGGGCAGAAGTTTCTTATGAGCCTGATGCTAAAATTGTTTTTAAATCAAAGTAATTATATACCACTGAGTCACATCTTAGGGTGGCTCATTCTGAACCCCCACACTGGCAAATTTGAGGACCTGGGAAATAGGGGAGGGGCTTTATGACCAGGGACCATATGAGGTAAGGTGAGCCTTGAACGTGCAGTGTTTGGAGGGTCTGGGCTTGTGACTGAAGTCTGAGCAGGGGTAGCTAGGTAAGAGCACTTCTAGTAGGCCCATTTGGTGTGAGGGTAGGGGGGCTGTGGGGCCAACTAGAAGCTGAGAGAGGAGGAAGCTAGGGCAGTCCTTGGGAGGGGCACTGCTCTGGGTCTGAGGGTAGTGGGGAGTTGGGGGAGGTTCAAGTAGGGGTGCTGAGAGCCAGATAACCCCATATTTTCAGTCAGAGCCTCAAGTGTGAGGTGGGTACCATCAACACAAACAGGCATGCTCTCCATCTGGGGAGAACACCCATGCCATTCTCTTCCTCCTCTACTTCCCCACAGGCATGCATCTCCTAAACTGTAAGGGACCCACAGAGACTTGCAACCAAGGGAACAATAGGCAGTAGTATTTTGTCCCTGGCTAACCCCCTGAATCTATCTCCAAGGCCCCCTTTTCTCTGACCTCCCTTGAGCCAAAGCAGCCCAGCCTAGGTTCCCCTGTTGATTCTATGCTAAGCCCTTCCTGTTTCACTGTCCTGAGTGTACTTTTGCTGCAGCCAATAAATTCTTGCCTGCTTTGCTGCAAAACAACAACACCCTCCCCCCAAAGAAAGAAACCGAAAAATGGAGGGTTGGGGTTCATTTGACTCCTGTTTATGAAGGTTTGGACTTCTGGGAGGGGAGAATGGGATGGCTGTAGTTTTGTTGGCTGTCAGGTGAGCTGAGGACTGCCTGGGAGGGAGACTTCCCAGACCTCAGCCAGCATCAGCCCAGGACAATTAAGTCTACAACTGCTGTGGCATAGTTTGCTTTCTTGATGTTTTTAATTGTCTAATATTTTGCATCAAGCACTCTTCTATATTAAGAACACGGTGGTATCACCCTAACCGGTTTGGCTCAGTGGATAGAACATCAGCCTGTGGACTCAAGGGTCCCAGGTTCAATTCCGGTCAAGGTCATGTAC